TGTAACCCTGGAAAAGCACAAATTCTGCAGTTAAGGAAAGGATTGTTTGCACTGAATCGATGATCTCGACTACGGCCGACTCCTTAAAAGACTTGGTTCTATAGCCTTGGTTGGCAACCGGTCTAAGAGAAGGACAACTCTTAATTCAAAAATCTATGTAGCTCTGGTAAGTACATTCTTAGCAACTAAGGAAAGTATCGTTTGCATTGACTCGATGATCCCGACTACGGTCGACTCCTTAAAAGACTTGGTTTTATAGCCTTGGTTGGCAACCGGTCTAAGAGATGGAAAACTCTGAATTCCAAGCTCTGTGTTGTTCTGGTGAAGCTATGGAAAGCATCGTTCGCTTTGATTCTATAAAGCCGACTACCTTCGACTACTCTTATGAGTCGGAACTGACTTGTCATATTTAGTATCTCTATAAAGCAAGCTTCACCAGAGCTGTTAAATATTAACAGTCCACCAGACTGTTCGTAACTGTCGAACTCTCTGCCTCGAAGGGCAAAGTTTCGTCCCGTAAGGAAGACAGGCCCTGGACCTGTTTATGCGGGTTCTAAGGGAATATCTTTGGCCGACCCTACGAGCTCGGAGGAAACCGGCCTTGTAAAACTCGTCCCTTGTGCCGAACAGATCTGCTCGGACTGTCCTGTCAATTCTCTGTTTGACGTTAAATATTAACAGTCGAATAGATATTTTTGTCCGACTGTGCTGGTCAAACTCACACACCCTTCGTTTGCGTTAAATATTAAAGGCAGAGATTATCACCAGACGAGCCTATATCGAAGGGCAGAGTCCCATCTCAGGAAACAGCTATCCGACCCCGTTTATAAGGGATCTATGGGGAATTTTTGGTCGAGCCTACGGGCTCGGATTTTCCCCATTAAACTCGGCCTTGTGTCACATCCCACCTCGTGGGGAGGCTGGTAAATATAACTGTTGAATAGATTGAACGCTGGGTCAACCGACACACACTCACTCGTCGTGTAATACTCTTCTGTTGTACTTATTGTTAATCTTACTTATTATAAAACGCAGATTGTTGTGATTGTGTGTCTGTGTGTGTGTGTGTGTCTGTACGTTTATATATTGGATCGGATTTCCTACATTTTTCAACCGATTTCAACAAAACTTAACAGGACTACGTAAAATTACCTTACGGTGGTTCTGACAGCCCCAAAAATTAGAAAAACACAATTGTTTTTGCATGAAATCAATTTGAAAACACGATTAAGAGGCATTAATGAAAGGGGGACAACTCATATCGAGTTATACTTATTAATATCGAGTTATACTTATTATAAAACCCAGGTTGTGTGTGTGTGTGTGTGTGTGTGTGTCTGTACGTTTATATATTGGATCGGATTTCCTACATTTTTCAACCGATTTCAACAAAACTTAACAGGACTACGTAAAATTACCTTGCGGTGGTTCTGACAGCGCCCAAAGTTGGAAAAACACAATTGTTTTTGCACGAAATCAATTTGAAAACACGATTAAAAGGCATTAATGAAAGGGGGACAACTCATATCGAGTTATACTTATTAATATCGAGTTATACTTATTATAAAACCCAGGTTGTGTGTGTGCGTGTTCGTTTATATATGGGATCGGATTTCCTCCATTTTTCAACCGATTTCAACAAAACTTCACTTTTTTTTGTCAGGTTGTGTTTCTTATTGTCTTGCACACTTTTTTCTTTATTTTTATATTCAGAATGCTTTAAAAATTCCATTTACAAGACAACTGTTTATAATAAAATTCTATTCAATCGGTAGACTCATAACGAGTTTGGGTTTGACCAATTCGTAAAAAAAATAAAAGTAAAAACTAATTAAGACATGCGTGTCCGTCAACCTTAAACAATAATCTTTGTTAATTTTATTTTTCAGTCTTTATGATGGTCGATACTTGATCTATCTCTTACTGTTACATCCCCGGGCAACGCCGGGCTCTACTGCTAGTGTATGATATATCTGCAACACTTGTTTCGTTATTACTTTAACCATTTACTTTGTCACAACAATAATTATATATATATATATATATATATATATATATATATATATATATATATATATATATATATATATATATATATATATATATATATATATATATATATATATATATATATATATATATGTTGAAATAATATTTCAAAGGTTGAAATAATTATGATACATTGATCGAGTTACCTAGCGATGTGAATATTGCCTTCTTAAGAAATATGTGTGTAGTGACAAAAGTAGGCTTTAAGAAAGCTTTATTCATGTGAGTTCGCTTTTAATGGATGTCAGTTATCAGTTATCTCCTGTTAATTCCCCTCTCCAAGTCCTCCACTGCCTTAAGCATGATTTTGAACTCACACTCTTTCACACTGGATCTAACTAACGTCTTTATCCACTGTGCCATGTGTCCTTGACTTATCTTAGTCGACGCCTTTCGTCATCTAAGAGACTTTATTATGGAAAATGTAAGGAATTTTTTGTGATAAATATTTATAAACAAGAGACAAAACGTCATTAGTTTTTCATAATTTTGAAAATTTCATAATGTTCATAAATGTACATCAGTTAGGCAATCTATGGAGGGCGCGAAGGGACACAATCCATTATCTAATAAACGAAAGTGAGTGAGTGTTTTTCTTAAATTTAAAAATAAACAAAAACAACATTTTTGCTCTTGTATATTAATAATTGTCTCAAAATAAAAACTTTGCATTTGTCCTGATAGGGTTCCATCTGAGGACGAAACGTGTTGGCAAAAAAAAAAAAATTTTTGTCTATTCATATTGACTTTTTGCAGATATACCATATCTAAAATTTTTACACATCTATCTAAGTTTGTTCATATCTGTCACAGTATATTCCTATCTATCTCTCAATTCTGGTCTATTCTTATCTATCTAAGTTTTTTCATATCTGTCACAGTCTATCTCTATCTATCTATCTAAGTTTTTTCTACTGCCGTAACCGGGTATTGAACTCACACTCTTTGGATCCTCTCACTAGATCTAACCAACGCCTTTATCTACTGTACCATGTGTCGTTGTAGTGATAAGTGCATGAATTTCTGGGTATTATAAACCTAATGTCTTCAGCAACTATTTTTACGAGTGCTCATATTAAACATGGCCCGTAGAACTAGAACAGTGAGCGAAATCAAGGATTCAGTTCGACATTCCAACCACCTGAATCCGACCGGAGCGAACAACGGCCGAAACGTTGAAGAAATCATGGCAACAAAGATGAGGACATTAGTCTGAATAATGCAAATAATACCTCATCCCAGAAATATAGACAGGTGTGTGTGCTAATTAAAATTAAGAGTAGACATTAAAAACCCATTCTATTGTAGATAAGCGGAAATGACTTAAGGACACATGACACAGTGGATAAACGTTGTGATAAATATGACGACAAAGATGAGGACAATAGTCCGAATTATGTAAATAGTGTACATAATACCTCATCTCAGAAATATAGACAGATACTGAGGAGCCGAAACGTTGTAATAAATATGGCAACAAAGATGAGGACAATAGTCTGAATAATGTAAATAGTGTACATAATACCTCATCTCAGAAATATAGACAGACTAGCAGGATGGCCCAGCGTTGCCCGTGCTTAATTTAAAAATCGTACGACTTACACAGCAATCACTATCACTTGACTTAAAATATTTTTGCCCTTTCTTGCCTTTAAAGGAGTGACCTTTGCCGTGCTGATGTTACTACATGTTTTACTTCTTGCCTATCTCACACTACGAATTTTTTCTAAGCTCTATACTAAACATTAAATCTGTTACGAAAAAAGAACTAAACAAAATGAACACAAAACGATCAGCTTTAAAAAGGACTCGTAACTGGAAAAAACCGAATGAAAAAGAATGTTAACAGCAAATACTTTTTCACATCCAACCCAGTTCTGCGGAATCAGAATCAACGTTGAGTTTAAGCAAGCGAATGAGCCAAATGGAATAAAGTGCCATGCAGATTTAAATTTTTCCCACTTGTGATGAATGCAGCTATCGATTTTTTTTGCATGCTAGCATGCTAGTTAACATTCGTGTCAGTCAGCTGTTGGCTCTCACGCTGGCCACTAGAATCTTCCTGCCTATTCGGTGCAGCCAGCTATAGGCTCTCACTCTGGCCAGTAGAAAATGGCCGCAAACTACATGAAAACTGCCGTAGAAGCAATCAAAAATCGATTATTTCCACTATCGATGGGAGTTGGGAAATGCAAAGTCGGTCTTGGCCTTTCCGCTAACTTGGAGCATGTGCATGTAAATTTTGGTGCAAATCCGTCGAAAATTGCGGCCGTGCATTCGTTACACACACACACACACACACACACACACACACACATCCTTCCTTTTATATTAGGTTGGTGCAAACATAATGTCGTTTTCCGACGTTAATTTGATCGTAAAAAACGATATTATTTTTGCACCAACCTAATAGATAGAGATACTATTTCTTTTATCTTAATTTCAGTGATTTAGACGCCCGTTATTGTCAGCCTTTGCCCGTTAATAAAAGAATTCGGAGTGGAAACGAACTGTAAGATCCAAAGGAAATATGAACGTCGCTCCCTTATTACCGTTTGATGCCTGTTTCTCTTCTGCTTTATCGTTTAAACTACAAGTGCTTTCTCGCGTTTCCGTTAACTCGGCTCCATATTTGATATTTCGACGTCAAAATAGAATGAATTGAATTTTATTTTTCTTCGCTTCTTCAGTCTCAGTTTGACATTGTTTCTTCTTTAGTTGATCTAGGAATTGATGTAAAAATGTAAAAAGGCCGGGATTCTGCCCAGTTCGCAAATTATGTCAGTTTCTGACCGTTGCTTGTGAAGTGAGCTGAAAAGGTCAACAAATAATGCGTCCATTTTTGTCCATTCGCTGGACGCCATGGCGTGATGAACGCGATATTTGGGCTGACCTCAAAAACTGAGGCTAAAAGTCTTGACCAAACTTGAATGAATCAAAGGTTGAAACAT